TATATATATATATATATATATATATATATATATATATATATATATTCAATACAAGATGTCGCTTATATGGGTGGAATGCGTCAACAGTTGGGATAAGTCATCGAAGCATCCACGTTTAACTTCAAAATTCTCAAAAATCCTATTTTCCTTGCAACTTTCCCTGTGAACTCTCTCTCTATTCCCTGTGAACTCTTTCTCTCTCTCTCTCTATGCTCCCTCTGCAACTTTTCCATCCCTTGCGCCCTCTCTCTCCTTTCTCTTTGTAAACTTCGCGCCCCTCTCTCTCATTGCCCCCATTTTCCCATTTTCCTTGCAACTCTCAAAATCCCATTTCCCTGCGCCTCTCTCACGCTGTTTCCCTGTAAACCTCGCACCCCTCTCTGTCATCGCACCTGTGCCGCTCTCCCGCTGCCCCCTCAATCTGCATAAGCAAGCCCCTCACGCGATTTTCAAGTAACAACTATCCATTTCTCAGATGCTTCACCCTTTTACCATGGCCATTATACATTTTACTGATGGATGCCATTTTGCATTTTAATGATGCTTATGACGGATTCCATTTTACATTTTACTGATATGCCATTCTACATTTTACTGATGTCGTGTATGGATGTCATTTTATCATGGTTGCCTATGGATGAATCAAAGCATGAATGCCTCACACAGAGCACAAAAATTTATTTAGAAATTTGTATCTCATAGATTTATTGGCCACATTTAGCGGTTTAAGTTTTTCAGTGCTTTAATGTCTTACACAGAGCACAAAAATTACTTTAGAAATTTGTATCTCACAGATTTTGTGTCCACATTTGGGGGTTTTTCAGTGCTTCAATGTCTTACACAGAACACAAAAGATTTTGTGGCCACATTTGGGGGTTTCGGTTTTTCAGTTCTTCAATGTCTTACGCAAAGCATAGAAATTTCTTTAGAAATTTGTATCTCATAGATTTTGCGGTCACATTTGGAGGTTTCGGTTTTTCAATGGTTGAATGTCTTACATAGAGTAACTAAACAATTGTGGATGCCATTTTACCATGGCCATTTTACTTTTTACTGGTGCTTCTTATGGATGCCAATTTAACATGGTTTCTTATGGATGAGTGATGCCATTTTAATAATGCTTTCTTATGGACGAGTGATGTCATTTAACATGGGTCTGTGTAACACAATCAGTCTGTCAATAATGAGTTTTTTTTTTTTTGATTGGTTACTTTAGTATTTGATTATGATATACAAGAGAAATTCATTTCCATTGTTTCCTTTTTATGAAATTAGGATGCAGGTCTAGACCTTTGAAGTATGTAGCATGTCATCAGTTTCCACAAGTGTTGGAGGATATTAATGGCGAACCTGTCCATGGTGCAATTTATAATGCAAATTAGGTACATGAAGTTCCCAATATAACCCTGGAAGAATGTACTATCGGTGTGCAAATTGTAACTTTTTCAATGGTACGATGAATACTTGGAAGGAATGAATTACAATATAAACTTGAGACGTCGCGATATACACTAGAACAATCAGTCACAAGAATCGCAAGAGCGTACTATGGTCAAGCCAGAACCGATGGTTTTTCAACAACAAATTATTGATACTTTAAGGCGTATGCAACAACTTTTTTCTTGTGTGTAGTGAATGCGTTTATGTTTGTATTACTTTTATTGAAAATTGTTTGATATAACTAAATAGTATGTAACAAGTTTACTCCCATCAGATTTGAGTATGCAGCTAGTTTCAACAATGACTGATATAAATGTTATTTGTTTTTGAGTAGTTTTTAATTGTTGTGTATTTTCTTTTAATTTATTTATGCTTGGCCATTGGTGCATGTTCGAAGCCAGTCAAGGTAAACCAAAACCCCTCCAACTCCCACCCCCCCCTCCTCTCTCTCTCCAATTAGAAACGCAATAGTCATTGTGATAAAAAGCTGGGATGCATATCATAACGAAAAAATTTCTCCCATAAACCTTGATTTTTGTGAAATCCATATAGCTGTGAAGGGGATGCACATCATAACAAAAATGTTTCCCATGATCTATAATTGCAGAAACCAGTAAAGTCCTTTCTATTAACATTATAAAACAAGCGATGCAGTCGTAAAAATCATTGCGGTGACTGTTTAGCAGCAATTGGTAGTATATTTCAATGTGTGCAAGCACCATGCACCATTAGGCTCCATTTCGTTGCATTGAACACACCATGAACCATATAAATCAAAATATTGGAACATTTAGTAAGTAAAGATTTCTATTGCATTGGAGAGAAACATAAACCATGTGTTAAATTTTGGAACGTGCAGTATACAAAGTATATATCACTGGTCTCACATTGGACTCATGACGATAAAGATATGACTGTTTAGTGCTCAATAGTTAGGCTATGCTCTTTTTTTTGACATTTTCAAAGGATTTCAAATATATCAATTATTTCAAGTGCAAAAGTTCTTCTTTTGGTATTTCTGTTTCTAAATTGTTTGATAAATTCTCTTTCATACATTTCTCACTTATTTGAACCACTTACTGGGGACCTATTAAATTGACAGGAGCAAGACCATTGAACCACACATTTTCTGTCTTCGCATGGTATGTGATGGATGCAAGTCTGTACTCGCTAATATGTGAATTAAACCTCTGGAGAACACTGAACATATTCAATTTGCAGGAATTCAACCAAACCATACCATATCTTAATTAGATCACATTGAGATCTATTGTGAGTGATAGCTTGGGTTAATTACAAAAGAACGTTGGTTAATTACAAAGGACATGTGTACAACGTTCCTATGAAAAGTCTTGGATAAAAAACTTACCTATGAGGACGCAAACTTAAAGCATATTGTTCCAAGAGACCGTACTTTTCAAAGAAATTCCACTGAAGATCTTATATAAATCACTCAAAAATCCACATTTTCCATAGAAATCAATCAACTCATTCTCCAATGTTTGCTACTAATGAAGGGTGTGCTGCGCTATGCGTAGAATAACACAGTTAAACAATCTGTGTTATTCGCATCCAACATAATCTGTTTGAATATAAATTGAAGAAACTAAGTCATCAATGGCGAGTTCCTCGCATCTACATTCGAATCGCACCAATGACACCTTTCTTCTCCCCAAAAGCTTCTTCTTGAGCTAAATTAACTAGACCACCTGCAATTATAGACCACCGGCTCCTTTTTTTTCAACTGTCTTGAACAGTTTCTTTTGAGGAGTGTCCAGCCCATACCCTAATAAGAGAACAATCTGAAAAAGAAAATTAACTAAACATTACGCCTCAATGAATTGAAAGTAACAGACTGAACTAATATATATGCAGACATGACATACATCATTGAATAAATGGATAAATGACCCATCCAAAAACTTAGAATTAAGGATATGATGATAACCTTCTTCCTGTATTTCTCAACAAGCAAAGGCAATTGATAATAACCTGCTGCGTTCTAGACTACTCCAATATTGGAAGTGATTGTTCATCAATGCAATAACTAATCAGTGCAATAATTAATGTCATTAGTACAACATAAATGCACTTCGTTGAACACTAAGAGCATAACTTTCATTTTTCTTACCATATATACACATTTCTGATAGGGAGTGCTTGCATTAAACATTCACCTATAATACAGTATGTAATTGGGCATATCTATCCACTCATCGAGGTCTAAATTAACTTCATATAGAAAACGAAAATAGTGACAAACCTCCATTCTTACAAAAATAGTGCCGCATAACATCATATAAAAACAAAAATGATAGATATCAATATAGTAACAAACCTCCACTCTTACAAAACAAGGGGGAAACCTTTTCCCAAAAGGGTACAAATTAACTGGCAAAAAAAACCAGAAAAATCCTCTACTTTTTT